TTTTTTTTTTGAATAGAGTTTATTTTTGAAAGCGGTTTCAGGTTCACAGCAAAACTGTGCAGAAAACACAGAGCTCCCATGTACCCCCAGTCTCCCCACCACACACACATAAAGCACCCCCCATACCAACATGCCCCACCAGAGAGTTACATTGGAAATAAGTGGGCCCAAATGTCCTAAGTGAGCAGTGGGACGTAACCATGGAAATCAGCCCTCCTCCCTCCCTACCCTACAAACAAAAAATCGGTATTAGTTGTTTGTCCCCAGGATAAAACCAAAATTTAAAGAAAATGAAGGACTAGAACCTCTATTGTGAAGTAGGTATTAGAGAACACAGCAGAAATTTAGGCTTAATATCTCCGTAATTCACACTGAGGAAATAAAGTTAGGGCAGCTATGTTCAGCGGGGAAGCTGCTACACAAGTGTAAAGTCTGGAACAGGAAGGGGGAGGTTTCCAGCCTGTCCACCTGCTGCCACCTGCTCACACACCCTCAGCAGAAACCGTCAGGTCTAGGTGCACTGGTACCTGGGGGCAATATTCAATCAGTGCTCCTGTTTACAGAAAACAATGCCTATTATCTACATTAATCAAAATATAAATAACTAGCATCCGCCAGATGTTTGAGAAAAAAACAAGGAAAAGGGACCAAAAAGGAACAGAACCAGTGACCCAGAAGGGTCAGACAATTCAGGAAACAGAAAATAATTTTTATTCTAATTATCATTTTTACAGATTCAAAGGACTTTTATAGCCATAAAATAAGAAAAGGATATTAAAGAGAGCAATTGGGGGAAAAAGTTCTTGTCAAAATTTACGATTCAATAGAAGAGATGACAATGCACAGGACAGCAGTCTGAACTAGTAATCTAGAAGATAAATTTGAGGAAAATCTCTAAGAACTTCATACAAACAGACAAACCAATGGAAAATTAAAGAAAAAGAGAAACAGAGGCACTACCCAGAAAGTCCAAAAGCTATCACTGGAGTTCCGGGGGTGGGGAAAAGGACAGGACAGAAGAAAAAATGGGGGAAAAAACAAATAGAAGAAAATTTCCTCGTGCCGAAAGTAAACATGACATGAGAAGCAAAAATATAAATAAACAAGAAACAAAAAACAAACAAACAAAAAACTCCTAGAGGCAGCCTCATAAAACTTGTTTATTACTCCGCGCCTACCATGGGCATGGTACCTAGGACATCGTGTTTAGAAACCAGAAGGAGAGAGGAATAAAAGGAGGAGGCAGCGTGAGCTACCATAAATGCCTGAATTTATCCAAGGCAAATTTTTTTAAAAAGGTAACTAATAAATATATTATCTACACTGAAATGGAGAAGTGGAGGAGCGCAATGACGACTTATATTTTTCCTTTTACAGCATTTATACGGTTAGCATCTTTAAACTACGTGCATGTGCTAATTTTAACAATAATGTTTTAAGTATTAACCAAAAAAAAAAACCACCAAAAAAACAAAAAAATGGCACGGAACAACACCACACCCAAACATGTGCTATTTAAACTCTCTGGGGACAAGAATGTTAGTGACTCATGGAGGATGGCAAAGTTCGAGTATCATAAGAAAGGTCACTACCGCTTGTTTTTCTCAAAAGGCAGGTAAAACATTTTAGAGCCTTTTAAAAAACGTGTATATGGCCGTAAAGAGCTGGGACCCAAGCAAAGCCTACTGAAGCCGCCCGACCAGAAGCTGCTTCCCCCTCACAACACAAGGACTCGGGACAAGGAGCCAGCACTAGAAGAGGGAATACCTGCACGCCGCGATGCTGCAACGGCCCAAAGACTTGAGAGTCACTGAGGCCAAGGCCACAGAGAGAGACACGGTGGCTAAAGTCTTCCCCAGGAAGCGTCCGGCCATCAGCAGCCCGCGGGGAGATGTGCGGAGCAGGGTCGCTGTTAGCTTGGGCCGCAGCCTCCGGCCTCCCCACACCCCTGGGCCCCGGGTATCCAGCAGGCACTAGGACCGGGCGGCCCTCGGGTTCCGGAGCGGGAGCAGCCAGTTTTATCTCATCAACACACAGGGGACCAAACGCCCTCCCCAAACAACAGCCCGGCTAGACACGCCGCCCAGGGGACGCCCAAGCGGCCAGCGCCAGCAGTCGGGAAGAGCCAACCGGGCCGTGACGTCCCCCGGTGCGCGACGGCACTTTACGACAGCGCCGCAAAGCGAAGACGGCGCAGGCTTCGTAGAGCCGGCTTCGCTCAGCTTCTCGTCCTTGCTGAGCTGTGTTTGGGACCGGGTTAGGGAGGCGGCTGGGGAATCGCTGAGAAAGCGGAAGAGAAAGCCGAAAAGTGAAAGGAGCCGAAGAATTGGAAAGGGAAAGAAAGAAAGAAAGGGGGTTGAGAGAAGTGTGTCGGCCTGACTGTTCCGGCAGGAAGGGGTTACAGGCGGCTGATGTAGTGAGCCACGCGTGTCCCAGCCATATCTGAGTTATGAGTGGTTGCAGGGAAAGGAGGGAGGTGAGAGACTTGCAATCTCCGCATCCGAGGCTTTTCTCTTCCTTTTCTACCAAGTTGTTCGCTGCAATGGGTAAAAGCCCTAACCCACGGAGGAGTAAACCAGTTGTGAGATAGACACAGAGCCTGGAAGAGAAACCGAGGGTTAAGACGCGAGATACCTGCAGAGGCAAAACTTGGCCACACGGGAAATTGGAAATCAAGATTGTTCAGAAGTTTGTAATGTGGTTTTCATGTTTGATATTCGTTGCCTTATTAATGTGTGGAAATATTTAACTTGCAAGTGCATAATCCGCTGGTTCTGTGGTGTGGTGTGGACACAGACCGTATAAAACTTTTGACCATCTCAAAAACCAGATTTATCAAACCTTAACAACTTGTTCTGAAGGCTGTAGAGCTCTCGGCATATGAAGGCTCCCTCAGAACCTCTGCGCTGAGACTTGTCCAGACTCTTGCTGACGAAAATTCAATTAACTGTCAAGAAAAAAAGGGAATTTTATTTGAGCCAAACTGATGGTGATAACACAGGAAGCAGCCTCAGAAAGCTCGGAGGACCATTCTGCCTGTTAGAAGTCGAAGGCACAGGCATATACATTTTGAAACAAAGGATCATACATCAAAATGACCGACTAATATTTTACATAAACTTCACCAAAGATACATAGTCCAGGTAAGCACATGCCAAGCAAGCCTCTAACCCTATCCACCCCACGCCCCCTCACCTAAAGGGCTGGGAAAGAACACTGTTCTTTTAAGAAGTTACATTGCTAGGGTCAGAATAAAGGGGAAAAAATGATCTTTATGGTTGAGCGGGCGCTCCCGTCTTTGAGAAGTTCTGGTTAACTGTAATAAAGATGCACACTGCACATTAGGGAGGGAGGAGGCCCAAACAAACAGAGAATTTTATGTGTAATTTTTTCTTGTCCTGCCTTAAAATATAAATTTTACTTCAGCCCTCTATTATGGCTTCTAGCAGCTTAAGGTCTTGCCCCTAGGGTGATCCTAGTGCCCCACCCCTTTAAAATACCTGCCTAGAAAAGCTCAACACTGCCCGAAGAATTTGTGATTTGTTCCAGGCAGAACCTGGATAGGCAGACAGACCCCAGAGCCCTCTCTTGGAGTAGCTACTTTAGAAAGCTTGCAATGTAAATTCTTTCCTCTGACCTTTGTGATATAAATCTACCACCCAGAACTGTTGCCTTAAGGACTTGTGAGCCCCTCTCCTTAAGATGCAGTTATTCAGGGAGATAACTCTGTGCTAGCTCCCAGTCCCTGTGGGAGCAATAAGGACCTACCTTTCTTCAACTTGCACTGCTGCTTCCTCTCATAAAGATAGAAGTTTCTTTCTCCCCTGACAACTGCCAATTAACAAACCCAGATGGCCTAGTCACATGGATCACCCACCCACCCCTTTACTACCCCTTAGTGACTTTCCCTTAGCACACTCCAGCCTTTGAAAAGTCTTCAGCCTTCTGATTCAGGGGAAGTGGAGTTCAGTTCATACTGTAGTATTACTGAACAAAATATGTCCTTACCACTTTCGTGTCCAGCTTTGTTTATGTCTAACAATCCATCCAGGTAGCAAAGTTCTATTATTAAAATATGCTTGCCTTTTAAAAAATAAATATTTGGACTTGGCTTCCTGTAGTCAGATAAACTTTGCTGTCAGTGTTGTTGACCGCCGTTAACCTCTGCTTAAGCTGGTATTAAAAAACAAAATTCAACTGAGTGAGTTTGAAGACCTAATTGGCTTTACTAAATGATTCATGAATCAGGCATCATCCCATCTAACAAATAGAAAGGAGCTGTACAATGAAAGGTTTTTTAAAAGCAGGAAGGAGGGGACAAGGAAGTCAAAAAGAAAAGAAAGGATTATTTCAGGCAAGGTCACCTTCTTTGGGGAGAAGGGTAGAGGTTTATCATGCAGATCACCTCACTAGTGTTGATCAGGAAATTCCAAACTGATTGGTTTAAAATTACATTTCTCTGGGTATATACCCAGTACACATATATACAGTGGAATATTACTCAGCCATAAAAAGGAACGAAACTGGGTCATTTGTGGAGATGTGGATGGACCTAGAGAGTGTCATATGGAGTGAAGTAAGTCAGAAAGAGAAAAACAAATATTGTATATTAATGCATATATGTGGAACCTAGAAAAATGGTATAGATGATCTTATCTGCAAAGCAGAAATAGAGACACAGAGGTAGAGAACAAATGTATGGATACCAAGGGGGAAAAGAGGGGGTGGGAGGAATTGGGATATTGGGATTGACACATATACATATAGATACTATGTATAAAATAGATAACTAATAATATACTGTATAGCACAGGGAACTCTACTTAATGTACTGTGGTGACCTAAATGGGAAGGAAATCCAAAAAAGAGGGGATATATGTATATGTATAACTGATTCATTTTGCTGTACAGTAGAAACTAACACAACATTGTAAAGCAACTATACTCCAATAAAAATTAATTTAAAAATATAAAAAATAGAATTACATTTCTCAGGGACTTCCCTGGTGGTCCAGTGGTTAAGACTATGCACTCCCAATGCAGAGGGCGCAGGTTCGATCCCTGCTCAGGGAACTAAGATCCCACATACTGTACAATGCGGCCAAAAAAAAAAAAAAAAAAAAACCCAAAATTACATTTCTGAGCGAGGCTGAAACTGCAGTTAGGTGTTAAGTTTTAGTTTGCTTCTGCGGGGCTTAGCATTAGTGACTCCACTTTGGACCTACTGATCCTTTTTTAACACTGGAAATGTATTAGGCAGGCCCTTAAAAAGGCTCAGCTCATCCAAATTAATTCAATTGACGAATTACTCATTAGGGAGAAGAGGAGCAAGGCAGTGTGATTCACAAAACCTCTGATCAAAGAACGGGAGAAACAGGGGTTCTCATAGGAAGTTCCTCAAGCCCGTCTTCCAACGCTGCATTCCTTAAGGGGAGGTTGGAGTGGACTTAGTTTAAAGAGCGACTCAACAATGCAAACAAAACCACTCCCTGACACTGGGCCTGTGCCACAATTGGCTCAGACAGCCAGGTCTCCTAGGTTCCTCCCTTCAGGGACATGTACTCCCAGGTCTGCAAGAGTACAGTGTGCTGCAACCCACTCTTGGGCAGAACAGAAATGCCATCTTGAATATTTACTGTTTTCTATTACTCTTTATCTACCCACATCCCAAATTAAATGCGTGTCATCAGAACTTAAAAAAGTGAGGGCTTTTGGGTTTTATTTTATTTTTTTATTTAGAAACCACATACCAACATTTAAGGGCATCTTATAATAGTTGGTGAAACAGACAAAAGATGCTGAGAAAAATACTTTTAAATAGAAAAGCGTTGTATGTGATTACTGGAATTGATATGTACGCTAAAAATAAGAATTCCAGTTGTTTCCCCCCTTTTCCATTTATTTTGTATACAACAAATATTAACTGATTGCTTACTATTTACCAAGCACTGCCCTAGATGCCGGGAATACAACTGTGAATGTAAGGGAGGAAAACCTTTTTCTCTACCCTTCTTAATTTTGGGGGGGCTTATTTATTAATTAAGACAGATTAACAGGGGACTTCCCTGGTGGCGCAGTGGTTAAGAGTCCGCCTGCCAATGCAGAGGACACAGGTTTGATCCCTGGTCCAGGAAGATCCCACATGCTGCGGAGCACCTAAGCCCGTGTGCCACAACTACTGAGCCTGCGCTCTAGAGCCCGCAAGCCACAACTACTGAAGCCTATGTGCCTAGAGCCCGTGCTCCGCCACAAGAGAAGCCACCGCAATGAGAAGCCCGCGCACTGCGACAAAGAGTAGCCCCCGCTCGCCGCAACTAGAGAAAGCCACGCGCAGCAATGAAGACCCAACGCAGCCAAAAATAAATAAATACATTTATTAAAAAAAAACAAAAACAAAAACAGCAAACTACATTTGCATCCCTTAACTAGGGAAGGGCAACCATCAAGTTTCAAGGAAGCATCTGGACTGCGGACGCTGTCCATTAGCCTTGTAACTTTAAAAGGAATTTATCAAATTTAGCAAAACAAGTGACAACTAACCCTGCAATCAGGAGACCAGGAGAAAGGGAGTAAAAGATGGCTCTGGCTGCACACCTAGTCGGGGCTGCGGCACCCAGAACTAGGAAGTTTTGCTCTCCTCTGGGTTTTGTCCCTCCCAGATTTCTGAGCTCAGGAGCAGTCGCTCTGCACTGCAGCTTGAGCCAGTTGCGGAAGACCTAACCAAGCCCAGCCCAAAAGAAGGAACGGCTTCGGGGCTGTTTGTTTCTCTTTGATAAAGGAGCCCTTCCTTGTTCTTGCTTTTACTCTCTCTGGTATTTGATGCAACAACCCCCCAGAAACGATTTAGAGTGACTGGTAAAACAAAGTATACCGAAACCTCGCAGCAACCAAAAGGATGAAGTTCCTTCTAGACTGCCTCCAGCTTCTGCCCTTCTGCTCATCTGCACCTTAAGAGTCTCTCCTGAAGCTTTTCATTCCGAAGAAGAGAAAAGCAGTCACCGGAGAAATCGTCCTGATTACTGGAGCTGGACACGGAATTGGGAGACTGACTGCCTATGAATTTGCCAAACTTAAATGCAAACTGGTCCTGTGGGATATAAATAAGGTAACAGTGTTTGCTGTGTTTTACTTTCTGGTACCTTTAATCTGTGTTGCATTTTGCTGGCAACAACCCCCTACAGCATCTCTGTTAAGCATGTAGAAAAAAATTAACTAGTTTTGCCATTCTATAGATGGGGGGAAAACATGGATTAATTAATGTGTTGATGATCACATGATAAACGAACATAGAGCATATGATTCCCAGTTACTGCCCATCACCAATTTGACATTGTAAATTTATCTTCACTTTTGCCCTGAAAATAATTTGTAATCTCCTCCTGAACCTGATTTCACTGATCCTGCTGTCTTTTTTTCTTTCTTTCTTACTTTTCTTTTTTTTTTTTTTTTTTAATTCCCCAACCAGGGATCAAACCCGTGCCCCCTGAATTTGGAATGTGAAGTCTTAACCACTGGACCGCCAGGGAAGTCCCTGATCCCTCTATCTTAATCATATGGAAAAAGTTAAAGCCGGATACGAGTTCGGATTCTCCTCCTGTCAAGTCGAACGGAGCTCGGTTAGTTCCTGCTAGGGTGGAAATAAATCATATCATGGCTAGTGGTCATGATGGGAAGATCGATCATAGTTGTTCTTGTGTTGTGGTGAGGGTGAAAGACCCGTTTATTAAGAGTACAGATAAGAGGATAATTGGTAGTGTTACTTCATCTGAGATCTTTGTGCTCCTGCTCGTAGGGCCCCAATTAGTGCATATTTTGAGTTGGAGGCACTGAACAGTTCAGAGTGTTCAGAGTTACATATATATGAAACGGAATCTCTGTCTTGTACACCTGAAACTAAAACGACATTGTAAATCAACTATACTTCAATAAAATTTTAAAAAAAGAAAAGAAAAAGAAACAGAAATAAGCAAGAGGAAAGCAGTGAATTAAGGCAGCAGTGCCCCTCTAGCTGAAGGAACCTAAAGGAGAAGGAACTTCAAATGGTGGCTTAGAACCCCAGTTTATAAAGCAGCTTCAACAAAGAGTAGTGCGTTTGTAGACGAGAGAGAGGACATGGGAAGCAGGTTTAGGCTTTCAAGGGCAGCAAAATGTGGGAAGTTAAATCCACAGAAGAGAATTAATGGAGTGAGGTTTGTTTGCAGATTCCCCTGGTGTCCACTCTGGGCTTAAAGCATCTGCATCCACGAAAATGAGAAATTATATCCCACCTCCAGGCAGAAAAGGGAAACTTTCTGGGTTTTCTTCTTAATTGCTTTCTGCTCAGAATAATTTTTTAGGTCAAAAACATTTATATAGTGGTGACATATACTAGTTTTTTCAAGTGCAACTTACAGAGGAATGATTCTCAAATGTTAGGGTGCACTGGGATCACCTGGTCGGCTTTTTGTAACGTGGATTGATTTCTTGACTCCCCACCCCACCCTGTGAATTTCTGCTCAGTAGGTTGGAAGTGGGGCTTAAGAATCAGTAGGTTGAATAAATGTGTGCCTGGTTCTGATGCTGCTGGTCTGGACAGCACATTTGAGACCCTGGGCAGGCCCTGCTTGCAGAGGGGTCCTCCCTGTACCTTCTCCACACCTCCACCTCCCACTTCCCCGAATTTTTCTTAATAATGTCATCAGAGACCCAGGTTTCCAAGCACACAGAATAGTCTCAGTTCCTACTGCAGCGCTTCTTCTTGGTCTGTTCAATATTACGAGAGTTTTCTCCATCAGTCTCTTGAGTGTTTGAACATCCTGCGAGCAGAGGCACTGACTGCCTTTTAGTTCTGGACTCTCTTTTCAAGGATGCTTGCGTGAGGAACTGCTTAGGAAAATCTCTATACAATCACCCTCCAGAGCAGTGGGAGGAGAGATTGCTGTACAACATAATAAAGATGATGCCTCCCTTTGAGGCAGAGATTGGGCAGGTTTGCCTGCAGCCCAGTAGAGAAGCTTGGGATGTCCTGGCCTGGAGGTTCCTCGGCTGTGCTGTAAATTTGCTGCGTGCACAGCATCCATCTAGGCCCATCCACGATGAAAGGACAGGGGGAACTGACGCTAGCATGGAGCTCATGCTGCCCGCGCTGCCACAAGTGAGAACATGCTTTGCGTCTGATCCAAGATGATACTGTTCCGCCAGCATCCAGGACACAGGGGCAGGCTAACTTGTTAGCTCAGAACTAAGGCAAATCTCAGATCCTTCATAGTTCTTAACATGTACATTCTCAAATGTTTTACAGCAAACATTGTAAAGGCTTTACTCCCCAGATCTTGATTTTTCAATGTCCTTCACCAGTAAAGGCAGGTAGGGTGTCATGGAGAAATGGTTGGAAAGAACGAGACTGAAAGCGCACGTCTGACAGCAGAGCTGTGTTCGGAGACTAGTGAAGACCCGCCAGAAGGATGCAGAGGCAGGGCAAAGGCCCCGACAGGCCCAATACAGAGCACTCTGGACCTCAGCAAAGAAGATAAGGGATTATACACATTGGAGAAAAAAGAATTCATGAGCCCAAGAGGTACCTTTAAAAAGGCCAGAGGGGTAGTCAGGGAGGGAAAGGTCTTCTTTAGAGAGGATGCCAGCAGTGAAGTGTAGGCATGCACAATTAGAGAACCACCATCTGCTACCCACAATGCCACCACTGAGCCAGAAAGAATCCTCACTGGTGGTCAAAGGCTTTGTTAGGGAGCTGGGTATCAGGGACAGACCACTTGGCCTGTGACGATGAAGGAGAAAGGGACCTTTCTCATGGAGACATGCCCAGACACCACTTGAACCAAGTGCCCAAACTGACATTGTGCGTCCCCTAATGGGATGCAGTGGGAGGAACTCTACATCGCCCAGGTGATGTCCTGGACAAAAATGTTCAATCAGAATTGAATCACGAGGAAACAATGAGGCAAATCTAGAATGGGGAACACTGCAGGAGACACCTGGCCTGAAGTTTTCCTAAAAGTCAATGTCTTGAAAGACAAAGAGGGGGAGGGACAGGAGCAGTGTTCTAGATTGAAGATAATATGGGGGGTGAGGAGTGTTTTCATTGCCTTGATGATGCTGGTGCTTTCATGCATTATACTCATGTCAGCCCCCGTGAAACTGTGCACCTTAGTTTGTACTTTATTGCTTGTCAATCATACCTTGATAAATGTATGTTTTAAAAGAGTCAGGGAAACTTTTCTAGATTAAAATAGCTGAAACAAAATGATAATGTACGAACATTAATCGAGATCTGAATTTTGAAAATAAATTTAAATATGGCTTTGCAGCGATTGGAGAAATGAATGTTACGTATTAATTAAAAACATATTCCTTCATTACAGTAATGATATTGTGTAGGAGACATTCTCAGTTTTAGGATGTTAAAATTGAATATTTAGCAGGTGTCTGAAACTCCCAAATGCTTTAGCAAAACAATTTAAGAGATAAACAAAATGGATATATGGAGAGAAATAATACGCTGTGGCCAACATGTCCATTTGACAGTTGGAGGGATAGGTATATAGGTGTCAATTTTACCATTCGTTTCATTTTTCTGTAGGTTTGTAATTATTTTTAAAAAGAGTGTGGAAAAATAGGAGTGTTTGCTTCTTGAGAGATCGATTCCTGGAATTAAGTGAATTGGTGAGTTGGAACGGACTCAGATACAGTCACTTTTTAAAAATATTATACCCTACCATATTGTATGAGTCACTTCGTACAGTAAACTAATGAGGATATATTATTATTAAATTATGCGGAACAATCTCCTTCCCATCTTCGCACCTACTCTCACTCCTCAAAGTCAGAACGTTAGAAATGATTTTAACACCGTTTGATGTGCACATATCGAGCAAAAATATACCGAAGTTCTAGGCATTTCTATAAGTGTATAGTTGATAACATACCTAAAAAAAAATGAAAACGAAAGCTAGAAGTAAGGTTTTGGGGTCAATACTTGCTAAGGTCTCCTTGTCCTCTGAGTTTTTAATAATCTACTAATTCCCTAACATTTCCCTTTTTTGGGAGGCTGATCTAACGCTAATATAACTTACAGAGTAACTGATTTGTGCCCGTTAACGTGGAGAATATACATCTACACTTACTATTAACAACATCGCTGTGACTTTTGACTTAGATTTATTTGGCAGATAACTGAGATCACCCCAAAGCTCAAGCTCATTCTGCTTCCCCCGCACATGGCTTGTCTCTCATCCTTCCATAAATCCTCCTTGTATGGAAGTCTTACGAATCATGCTTTACCTCTTTTGGGACTTTTTTGGGGAGAATATTCTCAAATCAGGAATTAGCACGTCAAGGAGGAGTAAAGGTACAGATCTAAGTATTTTGAAAGAGACAGGCTGTTGTCACAGCCCAGAGAAGTGACATTCCCTCCGGGTGGCCCCGAGTAAATCACCACTCTAAACCTCCCTTTCTACTTTTGTCTATGGGAGACAATTCTTCCTACAACAGAGAATTCTCATAAAGTTTTCATGGGAAGTTTGACTAAAGCATAGAGCAGAAGGTCTAAACTATAGTAAAGTACTCAATAAAGGGTAGCTTTTATTTTAAAATGAGAGAGCAAAGAATACTGGAGGAAAGGCTGATCTAGCGAAAGGATATCCTTTCTCCAAAAACCTTCTTTTCCCATCATGAATACAACACTTTCCATTTAAGTTTTTTTGCTCACAGTTGACCCCCCCCAAATTGAAATATTTGTGTGGATATGGGATAATTTCTAAGACCCGAAGTTAAGTGAGAAAAGGGGCAGGGGTGTGGTTAGAGAACACTTCTCCTCTCAGTTGTGGTTTAAAAGGCATAATGGACATTCACCTATATGTGCAGAGGCCACTTCCAGTATAGACCTACAGCTGGAAACATTCAGCTCTGACACGTGCTGCAGTGGCCAGTAGAGGACTGCACACCCTGCATTATTTTTCATCTATTCATATCAGTTTGGTTGTTCAAAAGCTTTCCAGCAGATGGTGCTAGACACTATTCAGTGCACAAGTCCTTAGGACAGGAATTTGTGTCCACAATGAAAATAAAAGCCTTACCCCCTCTCCCGAATGGAAGGTCATCCACACCGAAACAGGGCAATAACTGCATTGCTTTAAAAAAAAATACATTGAAGTATAGTTGATTTAGAGTGTTTTGATAGTTTCTGGTGTACAGCAAAGTGATTCAGTCATATTTATTATTTTTCATATGTATATATATATATACATATAAAATATATATTTTTATTCTTTTTCATATTCATTTCCATAATTGTTTATTCCAGGATATTGAATATAGTTCCCTGTACTATACTGTATGTCCTTGTTGCTTCTCTATTTTATATACACTAGTTTGTATATGCTAATACCAAACTCCTACTTTATTCCTTTCCCATGCAATTTAACGTGCGGTAAACATAAGTATGTTTTCTATGTCAGTGAGTTTATTTCTGTTTTGGAAATAAGCTCATTTGTATCATACTTTAGATTCCACATATGAGTGATATCATGTGCTATATGTCTTTCTCTGCCTGACTCACCTCACTTAGTATGATAATCTCTAGGTCCATCCAAGTTGTTGAAAATGGCATAATTTCATTCTTTTTTATGGCTGAGTAGTATTCCACTGTATTATATGTACCATATCTTCTTTATCCATTCATCTATCAAGGGACATTTAGGTTTCTTCCATGTTCTGGCTCTTGTGAATAGTGCTGGTATGAACAGAAGGGTGCATGTATCCTTCAGAACTATAGATTTGTCCAGATATATGCCCAGGAGTGAGATTCCTGGATCATATTTTTAGTTTTTTAAAGAATCTCCCTTGTGTTCTTCATAGTGGCTGTAACAATTTACATTCCCACCAACAGTATAGGAGGCTTCCCTTTTCTCCATACTCTCTCCAACATTTATTATTTGTAGACTTTTTGATGATGGCCATGATGCTGCTATAAATGCCATTATTTCATTCTTTTTTATGACTGGGTAATATTCCATTGTGTGTGTGTGTGTGTGTGTGTGTGTGTGTGTGTGTGTGTGTGTATGTATACACACCACATCTTCTTTATCCATTCATCTGTTGATGGATGGTCCCATCCAGTCTTAACTGGCTCAGATCGAACTAGACACTGCTGACTCCAAGTCCCTGGAAAATCACTGGGGCCAACATCTTACTGTTTGTGGAGGACATGCAAGTCTTAAAACGACCTTGATAAGTGAAAGCAGGTGAAATAGATTAAAGCCACGGTTTCAGAAAGACACCTCTTCTTTCCTGGCAAGGACTTGATCAGTGAGAAACCCTGAACTCTTTGCTACAGCCCTCCCAGTGTCCTTTCTGTCTATAAAAAAGCTCTCCTCTCCATCTGTGCTGGGGACTTGCACATGGCTTGCCATGGTGGCAGATCCCAAATGGCAATTCTGTGAGAACCAACCCGTCTTTTCTGGAGAAACATCTGGCCATCTATTTGTTTCAGGTTAGCAAGAGGGAGCTTTAAAATGGCACACTGAGGCTTAAAAGCCAACACCAGTAGGGGACCCACATTTTCTCTTATTGTATTCTCTGAAACAAATTGTAAAGCCCCACTCATCTCAAGGGGGCTGTAAAGGTATATGTATCAAGAGGTAAAAAAAAATGATGTTAACCACAATTCTTGAGTCCAATTAGACACTCATGAAATTTACATTAATACTGAGGGCTAGAAATAAAACTTTCCAAATACAACTTATAAATACATAAACATAGAAACTGTTAATAATTTTGGCTCAATTTGATAGCAGTTGTTCAATAAGTTCATAGAAGATATTTCTTTTAAGTAAAATAAGCCTTAAAACAGTTTTCATTAGGAGAATTATAAAGCATTATTATTATGAAATTTTGGTGATTCGTCAGAAAAAATCACGGAGTGTGATGTCTAAACACAATGGAATGAAAGAAGAAAAATCTCTTAACTGAGAAAAGCTTCTGTGGATGAGGATCTAGGAGCTACGTAAATGACTGGAGTGACGTGCTGAAGACCAGAGGTGGGTGGAGGTACGTCCCGACCGGAAACACACAGTCACACACACAGACGTATTTTGTGCTTTGCGTGGTTCTGATATGTACAAAATTCTGTCACTCTGGTTAGTTAAAGAACACATCCCCCAGTGGGTCAAATGTCATCAATAGTTAACCAGGGTATATTAACCATATTTCCATAAAGTATAAACTATCTGGACCCAGAGGGTGGGGTCCCCAGCCAGAGAGGATTACTGCCAGGCCTTGAAAGCTCATGACATTGGTTCTGCTGGATTTCAAATCTGCCCTAGCAACGTGGTGCCGCCACACCCTGGTCTTCTCTCCAGCACACATTGTCTAACAGCGACTCTCCTAATTTCAGCTATTTTTGCAATCTGGATAGGCTGAGGATCTCCAAAATCATCAAATCCTGCTTTTATTTTATTTTATTTACTTATTTATTTTCTGACTGGTCCCCTTAATCGATCTCCCTCCTCTCACATTTTTCTGTAAGCAGCAAGAAGGAACCAGGCCACACCCTCAACACGTTGCTTGGAAATCTCAGCCAAATATCCAGGCGATTCCCTCTCAAGTTCTGCTTTCCACACAGCTGTAGGACACAATTCAGCCGTCTTTTTCTCCCGCGATATACCAAGAATCACCTTTCTTCCAGTTTCAAGTCACACGTTCCTCATTTCCACCTGAGTTCTCACCAAAGCACCTTTAAAATTCACGTTTCTGCCAACATTCTCCCTAGGACAGTATGTGTATTCTCAAAGGCTAAAGGTATTCGTCATGAGCTCCCTGTTGGGCTGGTTAATGACATTGTCATACCATATGGGTTAGAACACAGAGGACTAACAGAATATTAGTAGGGAAAACCAGAATCCTGATGAAATGCCTTCAAGGGCCAATCGTTCCACACAGTTGAATCTCCTAGGATAGGTGATTTGAAGAATCGATGTCTGTCTCTTCTTCACACTTGGACTCAGAGCAGTCGGACATCAGACCTTATCACTCAGTTGACACTTTTCAGAAACTTCATAAGTGATCTGGAAGTCAAGTCACTTGACTTCAGTTCTTCTTTACTTTTCTGTGCTTATTGACTCTGTTCTTGGCCACGAGATTGACAAGAATCAACTGTGTTTTATACCAGTTCCCTGCTTGCCAGGAGTCACGTGACCAAGAACTTTTCCCGTTAGAATTCTGTGGCCTTAAAGGGGGGGGGGTTACAGAGGAGGGGCCAGAGCAGGGGCCCTAGGACAGTGGTGTGGGATGCAGTGACATAGGTTCAATCTAG